GGAGGCGAACAGGGTTTGAGGTTTACGGTCTCTTGTTCCTCCCAGTAGAAAGCATGGCGGTAGAAAGCGTAGTGACCATCAATAATCATAATCACCCTGGTGATACACATTCCCATCTAGCGAGACTGCAAAGAAACATACCTTCAACGGAATAAGTATACTGGTGTTGATGACAGCAGTAACAGCAACCATGCGAATCATCACCAGGGAATAGTCGCTCTCCCGGGCTTCCCAAAACCAGGTCCTCTGCACGCTCCCGATAATGTAATGTAGCCTGTACTGAAGCACTCCAAAGGGAGGCTCATAAGCTTGCGAAAGCAACATCTAGGGTACATTTCTGCCGCCTTCGCCAAAATGAACGACCCAAAGTTCAGACACACCAACATTCCTAAGGAACGCGTATACACTCACCACACACATCATGAAACCCAAAGCCCCACACGGCAGAAGCGTCAGATGGCAGCTAGCTAGGGCCGCTGCTCATACCAAGGCATGGAGACCAGAAACTTCCGGCGGAACCAGAAGTGAACGACCCTTGGGAGTGCGACAGGAATGCACTGCTATGAATGCCGACCATGCTGATAACGGAAAATGGAAGCTACCAGTATTGGAATTGGGGCTTATTACAGGCAACGTCTGCACGCTTCCTTCTGGTGCTGACCGGCCAAAGCCAAAACCTCGAAACTGCGAACTTCAGCCTCAAAAAATGGACCCCCCCTGCCCCCGCCACAGCATGAACCCATTACTACATTGGGGAAACTAGGGGATTATTAGGGGGGTTCCATACCTCAACAACTCCCACCCGCACTCAACCCCAAATACTCAATCCAGGACCTCATCAATGCCAAGGCTGCAACAGAAAGTTGATGACAATCCCGGCAGCAAGCACGACCAGGCCAACCTACATGATGAAAGGACTACTATGATGACCGTTGCTACTCACTGCTATTCTTGTTTCCCTTATTGCTACTACTACCCATATGATGGTTAATCCTCCTACTACTACTACTACCACCACCACCACCACCACCACCACCACCACGACTACTACTACTACTACTACTACTATGATTATGAGTAGGGCCCACCTCGAGGCCACAGCAGACACATCAAGATCTTTGGTGTGTAAAACCAATACTTCAAAATCAAATTGCAAAGCATATGGAAAATGAAACCCCGATACGGTAAGGGTTTAGCTAGGGTGTGGGGTCAGTGGAGGATCACATGCTAAATGCGCAGAGTGGAATTGAAACTGAGACTTTATCAGGGTTTAGGGTAGGATGTAAGTTTAGACCCTACTCGTTGTGATTAGTAGGGACTGAAGAAATGAAAAGGTTAATGGAAACTACTCAAAACTTGGGGATTATGTAGGAACTAGTAAAAGGGTCCATTCCGCTAGTCCCTACAAACCACCAGCATGCAAAAGCGGCCGAAACAACTAGAAGAAAGCCGGATATAACTAGACATGGCACGAGAATGTAATGATACTGACGCATAACAATTTAAATATTCGGCCCCTCTGTAGATGAGCGAGATTTGGGTACCCAGAGCTTACAGGTCTGTTCTTTTACAGATACCTGTACTTTACGAATGGCTTTCCGACAAGACCAGGATAAAAACATCAGTATATTCATGGCTTAGGAGGCTTATGTGGTTTCTGGGATCTCTGCCAGGAATTCAGAACCCGCGAGAGTGCAGAAAGTGTCATGTACACCTCTAGCATACGACAGACCAAAGGGGGTTGTCAACATCCACGCTTTCAGGTCCCTACAACAAAAACCAGGACATGGCAACAGGAGCCAGATTTTTGCAGTCAAAAGTAAGGACCTCCAATAGGAACTCTCAACGAACAGCAGCTAGACTAGAAAGATTGGAACAGAGGAGCGTTTGGAGCTTGTGAGTTTGGGTAACGTGCAGGATGCAGGTAAGGATATGCAACTTAGGATTTGCGTGTGCAGTCACTGCTACGATCCAACTCTCCTGAACCCCAACCACTAAATCTTATAAGCCTCGTAGACCCGCTGCTGGAAGTCTCCCACAGGATTCCTGCTGGCACACATAGGCGTTTTCGAACAAAAACCATCGCCGGCTGAGGGTTAGAGGTCCCCTGATCTACCCCAACAATCTTGGCCGTAGGGACCCACATGCCAAGCCCTCTGGCTCTCCGATGGAAATTCCGAGTAACGTCAACTGCGGATTTCTCAAGAACTGGCGGCAGCAGAGTTTTTACACTCCGGTCCCCGTTTGGGAACATCTAGAATGCGCTGCTGTATCAAAGACGGGCTTCAAGGGGATATGAGAGGCCAACTCAAGCATCACGTACGGCTTGAGAAGCCTCACTCATGGGGAAGACAGCCCAAAAATGAGCCCCTGTTCAAGCCTCTTCCTCGATGAGTTTTTTGGGCCCCAAAAATGATTTGTTGCGGCACTCGAAGGGCACCTGCAGGGTGCACGAAGCCCGGGCTCTCGACTCGAATGTGCTTCTGATGCCAAAATCTTTCCCCATGACAGAACAATCCTTGCCATACATTTCAACAGTCACTGAAAGGGCAAGTGTCGAAGGTCGAAATGCTGGCTTCCCCCGCAGTTCAGGGAACCACAACTCCTCTTAATTTCCTTGCGGCATAGCCATTCAGCATTCAGACCACCAACCCAAAACCCCGCACCCTTAGCACCCCAAACATAGGAATTTCCACAAGCAGCTTTTCTTCGGCGCCATCCGCCTTGGCTGCTCCGCTAGGCCTAGATCTACACTCACCGGCGCATAGCAGAAAATGTGGGAATGGATGAAAAGGATCATTGCTGGCATCTATGGGAATGTACTGAAATGGAAACTCATATAGTTTCCATATTATTTTCCATTACCCCAATATACCCCATATATACCCCATTATACTATAGTAGTTTCCACTCGGGTTTCAGGTGGAAGGATCTTTCCCTGTTTCCCTGCTAGCTCCCAGGAGCTAGACTAGGAGAGCAGCGGGGCCTCCAAGTCTCTTTAGCAGTGCTCCTAAGACCCTGAATGGTGTAGAAGGACTCTGTAACAATTCATATCATTTCTCAGGGCCTTGAAGTAGAGGACCCAAGTCAGATAGAAGAGCCTAATGTTAACCTACCACAAATGAAAGGGGTGGCAACAAAATATTCTGCCAGGCCAAAAGAACCCAAAACACTGCTTTTGCTCACTAACAAGTTCGGACTCTGAGAAAGCTGTAAACAAGTTTGATCGGCAATAACACTCGGTGGCAATTACAAACTTGCTCATAATCATAAAGCTTATGATAGCCACCCTTGAATAAACATGGAACCTCATGCTCCTAGCACCCTCAGAATATGAGCCATAAACTGCAAGCCTTTTCTTCTAAACCCTGAACCACATATGCTAAGCCTTGGGAGAGGCAATTGGCCGCTGCTCAAATTCAAGTGAGACAGCCTCGTTCCACACAATCTGCTTCAAAGGTCCCATGTGCCTAAGGAGGATGACCTCATGTGCATGTGAAAGTTTATGAAAACAGAAGGACCTAGGGACCCAGAAAAGATGTAGGATCATGACGGTCCCCTTGAAGCTTGCAAGATTCTACGGGGGTCGTTTTGTAAGAAATATCCAGATGTACTAAAGTCAGGTCGAGGTTTCTAGAGATTCCAGGGCACCAAAGCTAGCATCTACAGAGCCCGCTCTAAAACACCTAACGATTTCATGATCCGCAGCCTTCGATGACAAGTCCAGACAGATCTACTGAGAATACGCTTCAGGATGCAGCGCCTGGGGTACGAGAGCGCTGGCTGCAGGGTCGTCTGCTTGTTCAGAGCCGTGCAAGCCAGTGAAACAGAGGCTGCAACGAAGGAGAGAAGGATGACGCAACGGGATTGGTTGTATTGTGTTGTATTGTTTATGCGATTCATGGATTAACGTCACGAGAAACCCCATTGGTCATCTGGCTTTCCTGTCGCGTTCTATTGCAAGACTTCACCCTGCGCATCACTTCCCTTTTTCCTTGCAGCATGAACACGGATCCAGCAAGTGAGAACGGTCCGAGCTTGTATCTAGCACTGCTGTTGTACACAATCATCGCCACGGTTGGTGGTCCTTGACTGCATAATCTTCTTGTTGTTGGAGTTTTTCATACCATTACATACTCCATGGATCACTGCTCCGTACAGGCATGACCACGTTGCCATTGCTTCACTGCAGTGATGGTCAATGAGCTGCAAGAATGTTTTGCTGACTGTCAAGGGCTCGGTGTCTCGTGTAGCCAGCTACGGAAAAGCTTGTTACCATGATAGTGTTAGCCAGATATCCGCAAGGAAGTAAGACTCTACCTTATCTTCTGTGGGCGCCTACCCATCTTGCGGAAAAAGAAAGATATCCTTGCGTTTCGCAACAACTAACAAGAGTTCGGTTCTCACTTGCTGGTCCCTAAGCTAGCAATTATCCTACATACGGACTGTGGTGTCTTCGATTGTTGAGGTGTCCCTCAAAGCAAACTTCAGCCCCAGATGTTCAGATTCACGGTCTCCATCAAAGCGCGATGCTGTGAGGGACTATCTGTCACATCGAAGACCCCTGCCGAAAGCAAATCACGCGCACAATGTGAGCAACTAGGGAAAGATCGCCTCCTGCACAGGCCCTAAATCCGGCTAACGTTCAATACCTCTGACAAATATGTATCTCATGAAGACTCGCTTGTGCTTTCCTGAAGTCGCTCACTTGCTCACGTTGCCGCTGCTCTGGCGGACCTGACACATCGACTTCTAGGCTCGCCTGGGATTATCTTGCTGCCCATGATTGTGGGCGCCACCTTAAAGAGACATATCCCTGGAGCCCAAGCTAGTCAACTCGTTGAGCCCCTTTTCACCCAAAAGAGCCATAGTCTTCATTATCATTGCACATCTATCCTCCCCAGGGGCCTTCAACAATGAACGCTTGCCCACCAACCGCATGACGCCCTTAAATGACCCACCTCAGGGGCCTGGCACTGAGTACCCGCACATGCCGGCTGTTAGCGCAAGCTCGTGGCTGATGCCTGCACGACACATACTACCACCACTACCACCATCATCAACAACAGCAGAAACCAACAAGAAGAACAGGAACAACAACGACAACAACTACGAGAAGAAGAAGCAGACTATTACCCCAACGGCGCTGGCAAATTGAAAGAGTTCAACCACAATCAGATTGATTATGAGTAACCATACCGTGAGCAACTACATGAGCGGTGGGAAAACGATATCCAGGAGACTTAGTCAGTACAAGCCGAAACCCAATTTTACACAACTTCATCTTCTTTTTCACTTGCTACTTTTTTGGGCAGTTTCACAGGGTTCCTATGCAGCAAATCATAACCACCGCCAAAAACGACCCGAATCAAAGAATCTAGAAATCTAGGGCTAGGGTGACAAACTGACTAACTCCGGGATGCCATTGCACTTCCGAGCACTTCCCCTAAAGCTAGAGGAGCGATGGATGAAGCCACTGAAACTATGCGCGTACCGAGCGGCCAAACAAGTTGGTGGATGTTGGTTGTTGTCGGATTCCCCCTCAGCATTTGATTTGCCATTTGCCCCTTTGAGGTTACGTGTTAGGGTGGAGCATCAGGTTGGAATGATTTGTCTTCGAGTTTGTTGGTGAGTGGTCCAGCAATTGGGGCGGCCGCTGACAGGAAGACCTCCCCACAACTTTGGAACCCTCGTCAAGACAACGGAAACTCCTACAGTCAACATCTGAAATCTGTTGAAACGGAAGGGTCAGACTACATGAGGAAAGTGAGTGGACCGCTCCGGAGATGCTGTGAATCCAAGGTTTTCGTCTTTTTGGGGGTGTTGGGTGAAGGGCCCAGGCCAGGTCCAGGTCCCAGGCGACGGGAGCCAGGGCAATCATCAAGAGAGTGAACAATCATGGGCGCGCTTCACGCATTTTTTATTAGCTGCGTCCAGGAAGGTTTATCAACGCCATGCACAAACCGCGGCCTACAGTGCTGCAGGCTCTGCACTCAGCTTCCCGTGGACGTTGCGCTCTCTGTAGGGACGGACAGTCATAGTCGCGTTCGAGGTTGCTTTGATCGAACCGTAGCCCACGTCCCACGTGAAATGCTTCTTTGCGCATGTTGCAGTCCGCGGCCAAATCTGATGACGAGTTTACAGCAGTTGTGCTGCATCCCGAAATTGTGACACCGCGCGCGTTGTTGCCGGTTCTGGGGCCCATAAGCGCTCGGCCGAAGTGCAGTGCATTCTCTACTTTCTCGTTTGCGCGAGCCGCAGGCTTCTAAGTGTCTTAATTAAAGTGTTGGCTGCTTCAGCAGTTCTTTATCACATGACAGGAACCTCACTTCATGATCAAAAGGTTCGACAGCTGCATGCCTATCAAAACCCCTAAAGACCCACAGGCCATTCCCAGAAACTCGTACATCAGCTTCATTTCGGGGAAAGAACAAGTCAGTCAATTGCAAAAACTAGTCCTAGAGTAATCCTGATGGTTACCTAGTACCATTTTTCTGAAGGACCTTGCGTCATGACCCTGTTGTAATTTGAGCGCGCTCCAACCTAGCATAAAGAACTGACTCCGCCTCGGAGTCGTGACGCGGCCTAGCTGCCTGAGGGCGTTTCATAATTGGAGTGGGGATGGGTTTGGCAGCTTATGTTCGGATTCATGCCCTATGCGGGATGTAGCAAGAAGGTCGTAGGTTCGTGAGGTCCATGAGCCTAGCCCAGTCTTCGCGTGGCTATCATGCCATAGTTTAAATTGCAGCGTATGCTTAATTCGTGTGCACCAGCGTTACGCTAGCTTGGCACTACGACGCTGCATCGAATACGGCCCACCCTTGCTGAATAGGACCAAGGTTCTTGGCCTGAATTAGGTCCATGCTCGTTCTGACATTGCTGGAGACCTGCTGCCTGATCTCCGGTGGTCCTAGACATGAAAGCGGACATGATCGAAAAGCTACCAACTCCACTTTGCGGACCCCAGGTTTCGAGAGGTCTCAGCCCTCTATGCGGATCATACGGGGCAGTAATTAAGTACTGGGAAAAAGCGTTGCTCAGCGAGGCCGATGCGACAAACAATTGCTGACCTGCTGGCTTCACATGTGTGATTTGTTTCGTATAGGCGGCAGTCTTCACACAGTAGCAACAGCGAAAGAAGGGATGGCCCCTATTCGTATGAGACTTGGTGTTGTCATACTACCAGTAGCATTTCCACCAGTCTTGATACCAACGTTTGCAAGAGAATTCACATTAATCCTGGCGAAGCATTGCAAGGCAGAGGAGTCATGCAATCGTCACCTGTTTTCGCGTTTAGCATGCCCGCAGGCCCATGTATAAGCTGTGCAGTGATCTCTACTGCGGATACATAGGGGTTATATTAGGGTTATATTGGGGTTAGATTAGGGGTTATATTGGGGTTCTATTGGGGTTTAATTAGGGTTATATTGGGGGGTTATGTTAGTTATCTCGACTTCTCCTCTTGAAGCACTTGAAAAGTCCCCTTCTCTTGAAGCACTGATTGAACAACCGTAGCTTAACTTCTCCAATGCTTCTGTGGCCTCCCAGTTCTCTAGCCTCTTGCTGAATGAGAAGGAATGATCCATGGTTATGTTGCAAAACACTTTTGGAGGGCTTCATGACAAATCTCCTAATTTCCATCTTCTTCCACATGCTAGCTCTGCAAGCAAGAAGGGGACCAACACTAAAAATTGTAGTAGTGATAAGAATAATAGTGAAAATAGAAATCAGAGTAATAGTAACCTAACCATTGTATTAGCCTCGGCTGCCCACCTCGGTCGGAGGCTGCAAATTCGTCCCCGCCATGTGGTGCCTTTCTGCGGGCTCCTGCTGCCTTGGATCAGGACGCAGGAGACATAACCCAAAGGGGGGCTGGTCCCACATTATACTTACTGTGCTTCATGAAGACAGTCGCTCTCAGGACCTACCACCCGAGATTCATTACGGCAGATGTTACTGTGCAAAATCTTGTGGACATCAAGTTGAGCCTGCCAATAACCTCTAGCCCGGCAAGGCTGAGGAAGACCGCAAAATGCAGAGCAGCGTAAGATGAAGAGCAAAAGCAAGGAAAACAAGTGTGATGATCAGTCATCGTCATGATGGCAGTGGCTGTGTGACGATTTGGACAATCACGAGCAGGAGGATGGTTGTGGTGCTGGTGGCGGTGGCGGTGGCGCTGATTCTGATCACACCACCAAGAATGCACAATGACCCCAGTGACGATAGCTAACACAGCCACACCTCAAGGGAGTTGCATGTAGCGATTCTACGATGATTTCGTCTGCAAAACAAGTTCAGTCAACGCCAAGGAACAAGATCCTGTCTTGGCGCACGATTCAACTCAATGACTAGTCTTATGGACAGCATGTCGGCTTGCAGGGAAACGGACTGCATTCTTCCCTGTGATGTAGGATCGAGGCTTCATGCTACGAAAAAGCTTCCAGGCCCATTTCCAATAAGCGAGTGGAAAAGCAAGTGGAAACTATCACGTCATATGCTGACTGCCAACAACCCCAAACACCAGCAGTCTAACATTACGGGGCAAAGAACTCGCAGTCGGAAACTGCAAACAAAACGATGTGTCCTCCAGGGCCCCAGAAATCACAGAACTGACAGCTCTGATGGTAAAATCAACAAGAATCCCATGCAAAACTACACTCAAAGTACAAGCCGTTACAAGCCGAAGTCGCCACATGATATGCCCAAAGCCCTTCCTGCAGGTGAGCCAAGGCCCAGGCGGAGTGTGGAGCGATGCAAATTCCTTTGGCTCGCCTGGGGACCCGCTGCAGGATGGAAAAAAGGGAATGGGGGAATGGATTACAGGGATTTGTATTCAGGATTATATAGGGACTACTATAGGGATCCATTCCCCCATTCCCTCCTAAGCACCAGGGAGAAGTCTCGGACTCAGACCCCAAACGGCTTTCAACACATGATCTTTGGGGATTATATGGAGCATTCTGGGGCGCTTTGTACAGTGTTGTTCTCGTGGCTTCAGAGCAGTCCAATTTTCAGACCCCAGTGCGGTTTGAGTGGTACTAGAAGTGCCTAGAGCAACCATACCCGGAGCAGAAGCAGCAATGGCAGTAGCAGTAATTGTAGCATTGGAAGTGGTTGGTGGTCATGGCCGTCATCGTCCTGGTCGTTGTTGCTGTAATATGTAGCAGATTCAGCAGGTGTTGTTGCTATTGTTGTTCTAGGAGTGGGAAGTGTTGGAGAGGAGTAGAGGAGGCGCCGGAGGAGAGTAGAGGAGGAGGCAACCATGGCCGCGCAGGACTATTTGCAGGCGCATATTTCAGTAGTGACGTTAGCACGGGCCCTTCACCCAAACTTAGAACCTAAACCCGCAGACCTAAACCCTGCATCTCAAATTGTAATCCCGACGTCCTGATACCCTTAAACCCTGAACCCCTAAACCCCTCAAACCCTGAACCCCTCAAACCCTGAACCCCTGAAACCCTGAACAATAAGCCCGCTACAACGACAGACCTGGCCTCCAGAGGCTGGTTCTCCCTGGCTTTGGCCACCTGGTTTATAGGCTTTGGGGTTCGTCAACTTGGGATTTTCTAGGATCTAGGCTTTAAGGTTTACGGTCTAGGGTCTAGGGTTTCAGGTTTAGGGTCTGGGGTTTCTTTGAAATTTAGTTCACTCCTTTTCTGGTGCGAGCGCTCAACGCTAGGGGAGACTAGCCTTCCAACTGTCAGTGCATCTTGATGTCTTCATGCATTGGTTTTCCTGGACTATCCTTGCCCTTCATCCTCGACGTCAACATTTCTACGTTCATCTGTGACTTGACGTTCCAACTCATCGTCCACATGGGTTGCAAGGTTACCCTCATTGCCAAAGCTATGAAACATTACCTCCACGGTGTCAACAACATCACCATCCAAATGGGTATCGGGAGGATCACCTTCACGCACTTCTCGGTTTCCAACATGCAGGCAGGAACCTGAGTCCTCATTGTTTCATCCAACGGTGGCATCCAGGGATCTCCCGCCGTCAACTTCACGATGCACATCAGATCCAGCATTGCTCACTACAACATGACCACCGGAGGGGGCAACAGCTGATTCTTCTGCATCAACAGTTTTTTCTTCAGGCATCAGGTCGGTGTCCGAAGCATTTCCCGTCTACGTTGCCACCGTTCTCACCCTAGGACTACGCGATCTGTCCACGGCCGAGGACTCTTCCATAGCAGCCTGTACAGCCCATTCGTCCCATTCACGAGCCAGGGCAGCATCGCGTCTCTCACGTACGCTTTACCTCGAACCATGGTCTGTTGAAAATCCCACAGATCTTTCTGTATTTCCAGTATTGCGCGGGTGTAATCTCTCTCCAGAGCAAGATTGTTCTCCACCGACGTCGTCTCGTCAAGAAAGTCATCAACTTGGATAGGTCCAAGTGCATCCGGCACCACCCTCAGCAGTCGGAACCATGCGTGGGGCCATGTAGTCCTTTTGGCTGTCCATTCACCGACCTGGTCAGCAAAGCATTCCTCATTGCCACATAGGCCCGATTGCTCTGCACTCGCTGATGAAAGAACAGCCTAGCACATATTCATGGCATCCATGACCCGCGAAGTTTGGCCATTCCTCCAATCGACCGGTCTTTACTTTATTTGAGCCATTTTTTCTATGTTGTTGCACCAAAGCTTTTTGCAACATTCTCGCCATCCAGCACGGGTCATCAGTCCGGAAGGCATATGCATCAGGCATTCTAGCTGCCCCGATGGGCAACACAAGCTCTCTCTGCATGAGGTCAACTTGCTCGTTTTCTATGCCATCGCGATCGCTTCGCTGGTTGTTTGCCCTCACCGCTGAGGCGCGGCTTCCAGGTAATGCTTTTATCGGTCAGGAGCACCACAATGCGCTGGGCGAATTCACATGTTCCAGGAAGCTTGCTATTCATCCCACGGTGGACACCGCAGCAGCAATCTGTTCTTCAATGCGAAGTAGGAAGGAAGTCATCTGCTCTGGTCGTGGCGTCCATGCTGCTTCGCATCCTCCCCGGGTGTAGGGCTTAGGGTCTAGGAGGTTGTAGGGATTATGTAAGATTAAATATGGATTATGATAGGTTAGAGATATCATCCCCCGAGCTGGCTGAGGTCTTAGAATTCAGGCTTTCGTTGTGTCAATAGTTTTGGGGGTCAGCGGCCCTTCATGACGGAATATACAGGGTAAATAGATAGGGTGGGGTTTAGGGTCAGGGTGCATATGGGTTCGGGTTGAGGGCTGAGAGCACAGGTTGGTTGGGATTTCTGTCTCAGTGTGGGGTTTCAGTTTAGGGCTTGTCAGAATCGACGCGGTAACTAGATTTGAGAACTCAGAATAGAAAAAACGCAGAGTCCCTCTAACAAAGATCTTACATGAAAAGCCCCACCAATTGAAAGCGTCAGGGCTTGGGTCCTTTGAGGGCTCACAGCTCAGCGGCGCTGCCAAGACACACACGACTCATTGCAGATAGAGCGTTCTGGTGCCCTTTGGTGAACCCTACAGTCCTACAGCTTGCAGTGTGGTGATTGGGGCCCATGATCTTCAATATTGGAGACCAGTTGTTATGCCCAAGTGCACATGATACCGTCTACGGCTTCGTAAGTTGGCTATTAAACTTTCATGCAACCAAAACACATCCTTGTCCCCATCATTTTGAAGCCTGAATGCACAGCTCACATGTTGAATACAACCTTCGCGTGGATTCTTCTTCAAGTTGCAGTGTCAAACTCCTTAATCTCATATAAACGATGTTCCTGGGAGTTCCTTACCACTGGGGCCCCGTATGTTTCCCCATCTATGCCAGACTCCCGCACGAACGACCTTCCACGAGCACGCAAGCTTTTCAGAAACCTCGAAATAGGCTTGAGGAATCATGATCCCTATAAGAGACTATATAGTCCCTACATATCCCTGAAGTCCTGTTGACTTCCTTGAGACCAATTACCATCCTGACCTAGCAGAGGCAGGAACCTGGGTCCCATGTCGTTGCTGCTTCGCCGCCTGCATGGAAAGTGCGAAGGCGCAACCCCTATCTAAAACGACCCTTAGTACATCAGGTCCTATAAGGAGATGAGGTATCATAGGTCTATGTCATATTGGGAACATGTCCCTTCGTGTACGTGGCATAAGCCTTGAGAAGGCATGAAGAAATCACCATGAACATCTTCACTCACAAGGAATCCTGGTTCAAAGAGCATTACAAGTAAAAGGGCCGAATAGCCATACTCCCATGAGCTGCTGTCAATGTTTTTGAGGGTCAGGCAACGTCTCAAGCAAAGCAGATTTGACAGCTTGGTGTGGACACATGGGTACCTTTCTTCAGAATGTAGCCTGGGCTGCGCTATGTTAGCAAATGCATATCATCTTCCACATATTGCGGGGGAAAAGGGAATTTTCTCTACAAATATCAAGCTCCCTAGCACACTCACTGTGGAAGGTCCGAGCACAAATTTCTACAAGCAAAAAACAATAAAACTGTTAGGGACATTTTAGAGAGGATAGGCTGGCTGCTGACTGCCATCCGTGCGGGCCACTCAAAAAATAAGGTCCGGCTTCACACACCCCCAACGCGTAAGGATACTGAGTATGGTACCCAACTCTTGGAGAACAAACCCCAAGCATTTACCCTTGGCTATGCCTAGACCTCAAGGCTGAATCTGCAAATCCCAAGCCCGAACCACTAAACCCAAGAGCCTCAACTTCAATTCAACCCCCAAGCCCTCATCTCTAAATTCTAAATTCCAATCGCTTGAATTTTGGCATATGCAATCCTTCACGAGGGAACATTGCCAGCAATTACGGACATGACACCGAATAGTATTACATAGTGATTTCACCAGTTGCAAGGCCTCCGGGAGTCGGCAAACGTGGCAAGTCCTATCAGGGCCGCGCTGCTCTTAGGGGGCTTGAGGTCCTCCTTAGGCAGGCTGAGGGGGAGGGGGGGGGTTCGGGCTTAAGTGTCAAACCGTCTATACTACACCGTAAGCCTCATCATCCGTTGGAACATCTTCAAACATGCTTCTTCTTGATCGGCTTCAAATTTGATGCATGCACCCAAAGTGCCGAGGGTCCGAGATAGGCAAGCACATCTTAGAATGAGGTTCAAGGCCCAACTAGAACTAATTCTGCAGCCTGGCGAATATCCTCAGGGTTCACGGTGAAAGAATGAACGTACATGCCAGCAGGCTATACCAAGCTTGGATGTTACACATTTCCATAGCCTACTGTAATCCGTAATCCGCTCGCTGGTCTACAAGAAGTCGTACATGTACAATGAGGATCGAAACAGTTGAACGAGGAGCCTCAAGCTATGTTCCGTTACAGCGTGCTACAGTGGAAGAAGGGATGCACGCAGTGCTGTCAGTAAAAGTTGGACCTGTGGAAAATCCTCCATCCATGAACTACATCGTGGTTTGTTTATCCTTTTACAGCCAGCATTGCGATGACAGTAGCCAACTCAAGTGCACAGTAGCATCACACTAGGACAAGAGTGAACGAGTAAGAGCTTACTATTGCTAGCTTCCTGCATCCAGGAGGGACTGGGCCATGGCTTGCCAAGCACAGGTTCGTTGACCCAGCTTTACGGTGTTGATTGTCGTTTCAAGACCGGTTTACTCCCGCAAGTTGCCCCAAAATGGCTACAATCAGCCTCGTATGAATAGCCAATAGTCATCAGGCATGACCCAACATATAGACAGGGGATGGCAACAATTTCATGGAATCCGGCCCACGTTCACTAACTTCCTATATGGGGAGTCATTGTGCGTCTTTAGTTAGAAATCTCACGACAACATGAACGCTCGGGCCCGAATACCTACACAATCAACACAAGCCTTGCATACTGCCGGTAAAACTTGTTCCTCGACAAGTCCCGAAGCTTGAAGCTTAAGCCCCCCAGACTCCACAGCTCAACAAAATACCTAAACAAACAACCTGCGTAAAGCCTAAATGCCTCTAAAGCCCAAACCCCTAAACCCCTCATGTTTGGAAAACCCCCCACTGCCCTAAGCACCCCAAAACCCAAGCCCATCTCCTCTGTGGGTTCAGGGACTCGGTCCGCGCACGGCGGCTGTAGCAGCGGACCTAGCATGACCAGTCTTAGTCATACCGATTCGACATACGTGAGACGAATTAGGATTTAGGGGGTTACTCAACAAGTGGTTTTGCAGCTTAAGGCATTTCAGGGTTTGGGTGTTGCAGGGTTTTGGGGATGGTGATTCCTAAGCCACTGGCCACTGGTGCAGGAATTTGAGGTTGAGCGCAGGGTCGACTCATGCAAAAGGAAGCCTTCCAACGCGCACTTTGAGGAAGAGCAGATTCAACAAGGATTTAGAGCTTCCCGTGCGGAGAGCGCAGATCCAGCAGCACTGGCATTTCACAGTGACTTGGCCTTTCTGTGAACAGGTTCGGGCAGCAGCAGCAGCAGCAGCAGCAGCAGCACGAGGAGGAGGCAGCGGTAGCGTTAGCAGTACCAGCAGTAGCCGAGGGTTCGTCTTCTAGTCAAGAGGTCTTCTGAGCGTCTCCCTCGTGCCATGAAGTGCCCCTAAACTGCAGCACCAAACACTTAACTCATTCACCCGAAGCTCGACCCAGCATGCAATCCAAGGCCAGCCTCTGTTCCGCGCTTGAGCCGAGCATGGAGAACGCAGGCCGAAAAAGAAGCCCTCAGCCTGCAAACGCCAGATTTTTTGGGCAAGAAGGCAGGTGAGCGTAGCATCACAATGGGCAGAAGTAGAAACGATAAGTATGCTGCAGAGAATGGTACTAGCAATGTTGAAACACTAGAATGAAGGTCACGAGAGAAGCCACAAGGTCCTTCTGAAGCGTCCGTTTACTTCGAATCGTTCTAGCAAGCTCAGCTAAAATTCGGGGTCTGAGGGTTTCTCCAGAGTGTGGGTCCGTTTGTGTGGGGCCAAGCAGCAGTAACAATTCATGTAGCTCAGGGTAGGTGCTGTAAGGGGGAACCCTTGTTTGAGAAGAAGCCGCTTTTTCACATCAACAGCTTCACGATACATCACCATTCTGAGCAGGGGACTGTCACAGAAGCACTAGGTCCTAAACCCCAATGCCTACCCAAGCCCTAGCCAATAATTCCTGAATTTAGGCCCCGCGCCCTGAATCCTCAATTCGCAAGGCCTCCGAGTTTGAATCCGCTGCTGCGCGCAGCGGCTGGGCCTGATGTCTTCCCAAGTGAAACCCAGAAGCTGGGAAGGGAGGGTATAGGACTTGAGGTTTGGGGCACAGTGTGGGGCTTTGGGCCTAGGATTTGACTAAGTACGATCTGGATGTACAGTCCAAGGTTTAAGATTTAGGGCTGATGGGCTCGAGGTTCTAGATTTGGGTGGGTCACTGGATATAGCGTTTAGGATTCAAGTTTTTGGGATTCAAGGTTTCCATTCAGGACCTCAAGGTTCACAAGATTTGGGGCTTAGGATTCAGCATCTGGGATTTGAGATTTAGGTTAATTAGGGGGACAAGTAAGTCATGAAACACTTGTGCCATCTGTACAGGTAACTAAAACAGGCTGTCCATCACAAGCCTGCAGCCTTTCCAACACTGGTTTGTTGCTAAGTAACTTAAGTTAAATTACTATGATAAGGAGCCCCTATCATTTTTAATATATACGCATACTATGATGACTTATTTTAATTTCCTCGACAGCAACCCGGAATAGTTGAGCAGTTCCAAAAACTCTGTAGTCTAGGACCCTCTTGCTGTCAGCAAATTGATTTAATCGGGTTCATCCTGTCTACCAGGCTCATGGATACTTTCACATCCTTCTCCTTTTTTCTTTCTAGCTGTGCAAACATGACCTCCAGCAGGTTTTGAATCTGGATGTGAGGAGCAAAATTGTTCACTGGATCTGTGCTTTCTGTTGACCGCCCTCCTGTGTCCTAGTACACAGACTTCCGAGCTTTTGGAAGGACATGTTTTACGAAAATTTCCGAACCTCAAAATTCGTCGACTTGAGATCAGCTTCTGCATAACCACTATGTGAGTTGAGGTCGGGCGAGGCCAGTGCAATTACCATTTGCCGAGTTTGGAATGCTACAGCAAAGTCAATAGTAATAGCAATGGGTAATCGTTCTAGAAATAGTAATGGTAATGATAATAGTAATCGTAATACTGACAGTAATACTAATGGCAGTAGTAATAGTAATCGTATGGTAATAGTTCTAGGAATGGTGTTTGTAATCGAAATAATACTACTGCTCCAGTAATACGTAAGGGTCGTAGTCATGATAGACTAAGGTCGTGACCTGAAATTTCTGCTTCGCAGCTCGGTAAGCCTCGGCCGGAAGCTGCTTCGAAATATTGGCTTGGGGTGGGGTGGGCAAAAGGATCTTCCAGGGCTGAAGTTGAGGAGTGCGGGGGGATCATGGGGCCCCTGTTGAGATTACGTAAGGATTAAACCCTAAATCCTGTAACCTAAACCCTGAATCCAAAACCTTGAAATCTAAACCCCAAATCTTAAACCCTAAACCCTACATGCAAAACCCTAAACCCAAAATCGGGATCATTAGACCCTTCGTGTGTATATCCTGCTCTGCACGCCTCAAGCTTCACCTCGTAGCTGCTGCCCTCGTCGCATTTCTGCCGTTCCTGCCAGGCAGCAGCGGGTTCACAGGCTGTTGCCCCTCCAACTCACCCTTACAGAGCTTCAATTAAGGTACCATAAGAAGGATTGATAGTAATTAACTACCAATGGGGTTCCCTTATTCAGATAGCCTAGTTCAAGATCTTTAACAGCAAACCCAGACTCACCCTTATCAAAATCTTCGCGTCACAGTCATTCTTCCCAGGCCTCTACTTAGCCAAGTGCAACCCGAGGGCAGAGAATCACTCTGTGGTCAAAAATCTTCATTTGAACACTGTGCCCGGCTGTCGGAACCATCTGTATGACGCAACTCCAAGGCCCACCCATCCACACAAACATCCCGAGCCAGCTCCTTGCATTTAACTTAAGCCCCACGTCGAAGTGTCCACTTTCCTTTTCATGATTTGGGAGCTTCCATGAAGTTGCCAGTGCTCTGGAATTTGAATTTCCTTTCCGTGAGTAGCAGGAAACAATCTTCACATGCACACGCGCACACACACTGGGTGCCTTCACCCGTCGACGGCCCTCCGTCACGATCACGGATGTCATGAGCTCGGTGAGCATCCCTCCCAGGTGCGGGGTGCACCTGCAAGCTGCAGTTCTATCTACGTCTTCATAGTTCTATGGCGCCCTGGTTTTGTAGAACAAGCTGCTATGGCCTCAGACTCATGAAACTTCTTGGTGCTGGAACACCTTGAGAATGTTGCAGCAAAGTCGAATGGTGGGGGGTCGGATCCACATTCATGCTACGAAGATTATCACTTCTCTCTCTCTCTCTCTCTCTCTCTCTCTAGCTGTTGCTGCTTCTGCTGATGCCACTTCTGGTACGTTCTGGTGCTGGTGCTATGTTACTGTGCCACTGTGGCCACTGCCTGACTGCTCGCACAGTTGCTTTGCCAGGTATCAACATTCTTCGTCCTTATTGCTCATTGCTCTTGTTCGGCGTAGGCCAGTCCACCCATTACGACCGTGCCTGTGTGCATCCACGAGCGATGCCACCTTCATGGCAAAAACGCTGCAGGTCCCCGCAGGAGAGCAGCGAACCTTGATCTTAGGTTTTAGGATTTCAGGCTTAGGAGGGGTACAATGCAAAAGCAACCAGCGTTTGTCAGTAAACAGTTACGCCCTCATATACCCTTAACCTTGAACCCCTGCATCCTAAACACTAACCGCTAGAATCCTGCAATGCCTGACTACATGGGGGTTTCCCAAAATTAAGGGTACCTTTGGGGGGGTCCCGATAATGAGGATAATAGTATAATGGGGTCTATATTGGGGTCCCCCTATTTTGGGAAATTACCACATATCATGCACAAAGTCACCTTGAGCAAACTAGTTTCTGGGCGAAGGGCGGCACAGTCGCTCGGACAACCGAAGGACTGCAGCGCTTCCTGGCTTCAGAATTCGGATTTGGTGTCTTGTTTTGGTTATTGTCCCGCCATTTTCCATGTGCCGGGGGGGGTTCCAAACGAAATTCTGAGATTTGGGGTTTGGGGGTTTAGGTTTCAGGGTGGATGGCAGCTCTGTCTCCTTGAATCATTCCGAAAAATCTTATCCTGCAGATCAAACTTCATGTGGGACATTGACCTCTTCTCCCACCGCAAGGATACCTTCAAACTGCGCCAACTCCACTGCTGATTTGCAAGCAGCAATATGTTTTGAAGATCAGCGACTACAGGCATTTATTGCGTTGTGGAGCAATGATCAATCGACCGAATGCGTGCAGGGGAGATTGCCTGTCGCATGATCTGTCAAGCAATATCTGGGTACATATGACATAGCTCAGTAGTAAGAGCGTCAATTGTAGCTGTTGGATGCAAGTGCTTTGTTGCAGAAAAGCTACTTACTAAGGCCCCTTTGACCCTCCAAATAAGTGCACCTCTAAGCTTTTGATGTTGTAAGGGGTGCCCGCCCAAGAACATCCCTCCTTCTTACATATGGGGACTCTGTAATAAAAGGCCCTCAAAACGAACGAGAAGTCTGGGCTGGCTGGCTCTGCAATGAGATCGGCCTTTATGCTTAAAGGCCTGGCTTTTAAAACCAATAAAAGCCAATGACAGTCAAGTTGGAATGATTGAAAGTCTAAAAATGAAATGAAGCCTGGTGAAACCTACAAAATTAAAGTGAAGTCTCATTAAACCCCTTAAGAACACAAAACCAAAAGGAATTCAAAACGAATGACAATAGAAATCAAATTGAACGCAAATCAAAACAAATGAGGTTGGCCTCACTGTTAACCCACCAAAAAGATCTTCACATCATTGACTCAATGAGACCCCCAAATCCCAGATTCCAAACGTAAGAATGTAGCCTGGCGGCCTTTAAATCTAACAGCCTTTTGACTCACAATTAGCCCACCCAAAAAAAAGACACGACACGATTGAGGCCACCCGAATCCTTTATATCATTGAGGGTGAGGGGGTTCGCTGTACTATAACTACCCCCTACGGAATTTGATTACCTAGCCTGTTCAAAGAAGCGGCTGAAGGAGGTTTTGCTGGCATTAGATTCGAGGTTCCAAGACTACTAGGGCCCGGCCTTCATATTTAGAAGCCTGGCTTTTGAAACCAAAAGCATTCTGGCCTCGTCATAAATCATCCACACATGGTTTTCGGCTGAAAAACTATACTTATAGTTAATCAGGATTCAAAATTAGGATCACAGCAAGGAGCGCATTGATGGCTGCTTGCAGAGTTCTCCCGCCCCTCCTCCGTCACGTTTAATTCATCTTGCTCAGTACCCTTCTCAACATGTGCGAGCACGTGAAACACATGCTGCCAACGGCATCTATGGCAGTGACCGCTTTCCAAATACTGTGTTAAAAAGAACAGCGACATGAGAAAGCGGTGTAAGCATCATACCGCGGTCAGTAGGCCGAACGACGACTGTACAAGAGATGATGATGACAAGGACGAGGAGCATAACGGCAGCAACAACACATGTAGAAGAAAGGCAGCGAAGACTACAAACAAGGCTCAGCAACAACAGCAGTCAGAACGCCAAATTACCGGTCACCCTTGCGGCCTCTCCCAAGAGAGCCTCAAAGCCAAGCATGGTGCCCGCGGGGTAGGTCTCGGCGTCAAGCCCATCATATGCAATCTTCTGAAGAACATGTGAAGCAGCATGTAGACGCAATCATGACACTCGCGTCCAGAATCATCCATGTTCAAACAGAAGCATGCAATTTGCTTTCTGCAACTTCTGATGGAAGAGAAACCTCAGCCAAATTTCGTCGATGGCAACTGCTTTTGAAAGTCCCGGTCATCCATGCATCCTACAACTACTACTACCACCACCACCGCCGCTGCCGCCGCCGCCACGACGACTACTCCTACTACTACTACTACTACTACTACTACTGCTACTGCTACTGCTAGAATATGTAAGTCTCTACAATGACAGACACCTCATCACTCAAGACCGGAGTCCAAAAAGATCAAGACATCCTAGAAGGATTCTTGCTTCAAGAGACCCTGGAATCAGGTATGATACTGATTCACACCAGAGCCCAACAGCAAACCTTCTAGAAACTATATTTAAATGGTTCCCGTCATTAGGGAGTAATGGGGTTGAAAATGAGAACCATATTAGGGGTGTGCAGGAGCATTCAAATTACAAGAATGCTCCCTGCATTTATATAACCCCAATTCGAAGCTAGTAGGTTCCATGTTCTCTTTCACTCGCTCCACAGCTTGAGCACCCATAGCACTTAGGGTCTCTCGAAGCCTGAGGGTTTGGTTCCCGGACTTCCATGACCACATAGCTGTCACCCAGGTAAACGCCCCTCACCTGCAGAGGGTGACAGGATATTTTCAAGGATCCTATGAATTACACAAAGACCTAAGAAGCGCATTGCAGGATTCCTTTTGGAGACCATGTCCGGTAATAGGGCCCTGAAGCAATTTTCCCTTCCCCCCGATTCTCTACACCAAAGGACCAAACCCTACCTAGCATATGTTGGGTTCAGGGTTCGGGAAGTTGAAGGCTGCCGTTGAATTCATAAGGATACTGTTCTTTTTCTGGGTTACTTACAACATGTTCAGGGACAGGGATCTACTTGACGGCCGAGATTGAAAGGCTTGGAGAGACTAAGGCCGCTTCACGAGGAGATGCAGAAAATCCTTGCTTTTCAAGACCTCGAAGCCAGCAGATGCTCTTCTTGCATTTTTCAACACTGGACACCCGGGGCATTTCCGCTCAAAACAAACTCCGCGAATAGCGTGGCTTCGAGGCATTGGAGTCCTTGAAGAAAGCATCTTCGGGCATGTGCGCACATAGCTAGAGGAGCGTCAAGCGTCTCTACGAATAAGTTATATTGGGATAATGGAAAATAAAATGGAAACTGCTATAATGGGTTATATAGGGATTATGAGGTACATATTGGGGTTATATTGGGATAGTAGAGCTCCACATCATGGCCCACAAATGGCCTCCTTCTTTCGTCCACGGCGCCGCCGCGTCGTGGAGGGGTGGGTCCTCGGTGCCACTTCAGGTCAATTTGACCCGCCTGGTAGACATCAGACTTTGGAGGTCTGCGGGTCCACTACAGTTTCCACAGATAAACCCCAATATAGACACCAAAATACTAGTATCCTGATTGTAGGGAACCCCCAAAAAATGTAATGACCCCCATTTGGGGAAGCCCCCAGTGCGTCATTACCACATCAACCTCGAGCCAGGAAGCTGCAGAAAATTGTCAGCTTTGGAGATTTGTCTCCACAACAAAAAACTGGCACGCTGATTCGGGGGTGTCCCAGAATTAGGGGTACCTTTTTTGGGGTCCTCATAATAAGGACTAGAATACTTGGGGTCTGTATTAGAGTCCCCCTACTCCTGCGATGATACTAGAAAACATCATTGCGCGTTGGGCTCAGGTCATGCAACTTACTAGGTTTGAACCGCTCATATTGGGATTCCTTCTACCACCAAGGACTCAGAAAGCTAAGCTCTACACAAATCCCTAAAACCTAAACCCTAAATAGTAGTTTCCATCTTATTTTCCATTATCCCAGTATAACCCCAATATAACCCCAATACGCAAACCTCTTTAGAACCAGCTTGGAGCCAGGCAAAGGCCTGCCACTTGCATTGAGAATGGCCTGTCCGGAGAATCAAGATAAGGTTGGCGGCTGAAGGTTTCGCGCTGTTTTGAAGCGCTCCTTGTTACTCTTGTCTGCAGGCGACAGGATTTAGAATTTAGGGCTTACACATATGAAGTTCCTTGTTAGTTTAGGGAAGGTAAAGGACATCGCAGTAATCCGCATTGCATTTCGAACTGTAGCAATGGGAATGCTAATTTCCAGTTTCGGTGATGACATATAAGTGAGAAGCATGGAACACACAGACAATTCTTACATACCTTGCGAAAACGTGAAACAGACACAAGGACTTAAGGAGCATGAGCTCTGGGCCTGAGCTGTGTCCGTATAGTGGCATCATACCGAACTCCGATAATGCAGAATCAAATGGAAAAGAACATGGGACATAACATGGGAATGAGGATGAAGCAGCGGTTAAGTTTTTAGGGCCCTGAACCGAACCCTTCTAAGAAGTATGTGCTGGCCTTTACCCATCCTGCATACCAACAAAACCCCTAAACCCGAAGCCCCACACCTCATGATTGCTGCATTGCCAACTCCCAACCTCACAACTCCCCTCGTAGACGAAGATCAGGTCGCTGCTGCTACCCGCCTTAAGTGGAAACATGCCAGTCAAGGAACGGCAAGGCTTTGCATAGTCGTCCTCAACAGCTGAACATGCATGCACCAAAAGCTGAGCGCTTCCGGAACCCAAGGACAACGACAAAACTGTAGCGGGCAACAAAGACAGTTGCAGCGGTTAGCACAGCAAAGTCTTGCCCTGAGCTCCTTTGCCGAGAATAGCGGGCAATTTGCCTAATGGAAAATAAAATGGAAACCACTATATTATCATAGGGATTATATAGGGGTTATATTGGGATAATGGAAAAGGAAACGGAAACTACTATATTATAACAAGGATTTGCTTCCCATTCGTCCTAATTAATTTCCAACAATTTCTTCGCCGATCTTTTGGGCGATCAGTCTGCTATTGGCTCGCACATTGACAGAACCCTGCCGAGGTCGCTTAGTCTCCTGAAATTCAGTCACTCAGACCTTTTAGCTCCATAGACTTTGCAAACCCTACAATCATGCCTCGAAGACTTGCCGGGTTTAGGATTTATGGCTGTCAACTCTGCAAACTCAAGAATCATCCCTGTGAGCTTCATAAGCCATAATCTCCTCCCTCAACCAATTAAACACCCCCACCTTGCTAATGATGAATCTTCCCCGATGATATGGTGGTCTTATATGTGGGGGGGGGAGGGCTCCATTGGTCCATAGTCCCCCAATCTACAAAATCCTGATTGTAAGGCATCCCAGATTCGAGCTGCGGCTGAGTGGCTTCGGTGGGCGGTACAATCAGCTCTCCAGGTGTGAAGGCCTTCAACTTCTCTTGTTTCTCAGATCAGAAGGGCGCTTCACAACACAATCTCAAGGCACCATGCTGCTGATTTTGAAGTTGACTCAGGCGATACAAGTGGTTGAAAACGCTTCCTTTGATTTGAACATATTTCCCAACCAACCATGGACAGAAGTGATAACCCCAAAAAGAGGTAATAAAGCAGTCTTGCGGGTAAGAAGGGTCTGCACGAAACGCCACGCCCTTGATGGTACCCAACGCACTGTGTCACTGAGGGCCGCTTGCCTGTGGCTCCAGGAGTCGGACCAGCAGTGCTTGAAGCCTGGAAGCTGTGGGGGTAAAGGGTTGAGGGTTTAGGGTTTGGGGGTAGGAAGGGTAAGGGCTTGCGGTTGTAGAGTTTAGAGGTCTTAGGGGCTTGGGCATTGGCCATTAGCAGGCCTTTACACAGAAGGTACTGACCATCCCAACAGCCGCAGCAATGACGGTGATTGCCCGCAAGTGAAGACTGACAATGCTTGCAGACACAGCAGGAGCACAACCGTAAGGAATGATGACAATGATAGGAAAGGCGAACCTACGCCAAACATTGCAATCAAGTCTGTTTCATTGTCGGAGGAATGTTCTACATCGCGGTTCCAACGCGTGCTGATGACATGCCCTACTGCGCAACCAGATACTGGAAGGATCAATGAAACGGGTTTGGAATAAAAGCAGTTGAAATGTCAGCGAGGACTAAACTGGCTAGGCAACCTTAAACGTATCCATGATGGGAAGGGTTTCTGCGAGGGCTCCAACGGGGGGTGTGTAGAAGCCTAAAGTATACGGGCTTTATAGAAGCCTAAACCATCAATTATTCTTACCACGTTGAGTTCCATTTCAGATACCCCGTACCAAGCTTATACCCTGAATCTTGGACTAGAACTTTGGGTAGCTCTATAAATCCCCGTATGAGCACAATATCCAGATCATTTCCCATTTCCCCTTTTCATTCCATCCACCATTCTTCCCATGGATATTGGTAATTATTCGGGTGGATCCCGAAAACAACTCAGAGGAAATGTGTTGAACCACACGAATCCCAGGGCCCCAGCCACGGCGGCATGGACGGCGCGAAGAGAGCGATGCCACCACCAACTATGTGCCTGAAACACTTTGGTGGATACTCACTATACCTGCATGACCCTAAGTACCCTATACCTTGTGGAACTATGGTGCTCTGATAAATTATGACATACTAGGATCATGCAGGATTTTGGGTATCAACCGTAACTCCTTGAATTCACACATTCTCGCTCCGAGACTGTTTTGAGAATCTCTGCATGACTTCGCTCAGGCTTTCTGTGACCTAGTGGTGCTTCGGGAGGGTGGGGGAGTGAATATGGGTACCATTGTAAAGTCTTGATGGGGATTCTCTGACTTATACTCCCAATCTCCCTTAAGCAGCAGTAAGGGAGATTCTGTCTTCATCACAATGTCTCTGAAACTGTAATCAACTAGAAAAGAAGTATGTCCTAGTGATTCATTATTTATGATTAAGGTTGTTACTATGATGGCTATTATGCTTGGTTGATCACTAATACTACAATCGAGATTGGGATGAACATCTGCTCACCTGTGGATGTGGAGGATGACCTCTCGCCGCAAGGGCACGGGCAGCCTCGGCTTCAGACTGGTCTCTTTCACTTTAGGGTTTTACGCAATTACAGCTTTGGGAGATTTCAGGTTTTGGGCTGCTTCCATGGGGTTTCCCAGAATTAGGGAATTCAATAGGGATTGTACTATTCTGCAGGTATATGTGGCATCCCACTTCTGGAATTTCCCACATGGCTTTGTTGAAATGAAGCCCTTTCTTGCAAAAGAGCGACAGTGTCATGATGACTCTGGACCCGCAAGCATAACAACCAAAAAAGCAAAAGCGTAGCATGTGTGCGGCATACGAAGCTTCAAGAATATTCCTATGGCTATCCCAATAGCCCGGGGATGTAGAACCTGTCGGGCTCCAGGGCTTTGGGTCTCTAAGCATGTCAGCACGATGAAGCCTATGCAAGTTCTGTGAGAATACATCATTTTGTGCCACGTACGGATTATGGGAAAGACCAAGCGGTTGGGCCGTTTCTGAAGTGCTTGTTCCTGGAATATTGGAAAACTGTGGTTACCCCTGCGTGCCACCTGATGTCAGATGCTTGAAATCGGCCTACTGTTACAAAGCGCGATCCTGTTGAAATTGCTGGATTGCAGCGAGCTCCTGCTGCAGGGCTTGTTTGGCCATTCCCTTCGGATCATAGACGGCGCGATAAAATTTCCCAAAATTCATCCATTCCTTCAAGATATGATCAGTGGAGATGCCAAAAAATCTCTACCACTGACCTAGCGGTTTCCTAGCGCCACACTGGTAATTCAATCGATTCCCCCGCGTGCCGCCTCGTGTCGAAGAGACAAAGCGATCCCAATCATCCCATCTTATTCAGTCTTTATTACCTACAGATAGGCGTTTTCTTGACGTCACTCAGTTCCTTGTTTCCGTGGTGACACCGGGACCCATGAAGGGGAAACAATAGCTATACTGCACCTAGCTTTCGAGTTGAGACTGGTAGCAGTATGCTGATTCAATGGATGGGCAGCGAATTGCCCAAATTCATACCCTGAACAGATTGGGATTCCTCGTGGGATCCAGTCAACCCTGCAACCTAGGTTGAATTGGGCCTTAAATTCTTCAATTGCAGTCCACTCATCCGAGTCAAGACTTGCTTGTAGATCGGATGTTTCAAAGGCATCTCTCAACATGAGGGGTCCCCCCTACAAGGGGACTTGTAGTCTCAAACCCTCCCCATAGCAAGACGGCCACCAAACGCTGCAATGGCTTGTGGTGCAGCCCAGAAGCTTCTGCAAAATCTCCTGCTCCGCATCAAAAGGCGACATCTCCTGACGGGGTTAGCAGCATCAGTTCTGGGGGTTGGCCGGTTTAGAGTAGTGGGTGCCCTTTAGGAGCCCAGGGATAGATGCGGGTTAGACGCAGCAGTCCCCCTCAAGGATTCTGTAAGAGTCTTTGGAACAACTCCTTCGACGCTATTAAACATTCCATGGAAAATTGCATTTTAGTTGGGTGTGTTGGGGGCACCCTTTGGTGGAAGCAGCCCAGCACTTTGGAGTTGCTGTTCGTCCCTGATGTAGGTCGCCTTAGGTATTTGCCAAGGCAGAGACGGAACGTCGCGAACAGGACAAAAAAGAGGGGTATGGATACTTGCTTATGTTGGCATTGACCCGCTACAAGTTGACTGCATACAAAAACTGCAATCACCACTGCGGCAAGGTGGCGCCACCCCCTTATGTTTTGGCGGCAGTCCTCAGTCTGATCTTTGCAGACTACTATGCAGTATTTTCATGGTCTGAAGACCTATAAGCCGGAACTCCTGAACCCTAACAGCAGCCTGGTACCAGAACTCAATGTGCCGCCGGACAGAGTTAAGCACCTTCTGGTGGAAGCTGTGCTCCTTGGGGCCAGCCAGCATGGTCCAAAAGGTAGAGGATACTATTATTGCTACTACTATTACTACTACTATTACTAGTAATACCATCATTATTACTATTACTACTCATATTCTTACCATTGTTACTATTATTACCACGGGCACTTTTCTGGCCGTTGCGAGACCCACGTGGTCTTTGGCCTGTCTTACTGCGGTGAGTGTTCTAGCCTAGCAGAGCTTTGAGGGCTAGGGTCCCAAGCATGACCATGACCGTGGTACCCGGGCCACTAGGTCCGTGGGCTTGAGTGAATGGCTTGTGTCTGAAGCATTGCTCTTGCGAAGAGTCTGCTGCACAATCCCAAACAAGGCATGCTTCACAAGGAGGATGTATAGCCTGCATATAACCATATATATATATATAGGGGTTTCCATGTCATCTTCTTCTTCTCCATTTGATTCTCCATTATGGGCCTGGGGTTAAAAAGGCTATAAATTCCCTGTAAATTGTGAAGAAGAGACCGCTCGGCACTCACAGATGCACATGCACAGTTCTGGCTCCTCGCAGTACTGCCGCATCATGAGCAACGACCTGGTTCTGCAAGGGAGGTACATCTAACAAACACACACATAATCAGAATACAGCAAAGCATGGAGTAGCTGCACTCCAGAAACTGGGGGCTTACGTTCCTGGAGCAAGATTCTTCAGCTTGGGTTCCACACAAACTTGGACGGAGGCTCTGTAAGATCTAGCTTTTCTCATGCACAGATTGTTTGGGGCTGGGCTGAAGCAACAATTTGAAACAATTGATACTACAAATCCTGCGTGACTTCAAGACACCATAATCCTAGAGTCGCCGAGGTACAAGGCTCAGAACAGGAGCAGCCTCTTCTAGTGTGCAGAATACCCTGCTATAAGCCTCAGGTCCAGCCCATCATGGTTCTAAAAGTACTCCTGCGGCACTGGAGCGCATGGAAACAAAACATCTGACACCATAGCGGCCTATTCCACCAGCCCCGATTTTCCGGACTAAGCATGCTTATTGTTGCATCGGGACTATAAGGGTAATGCAGCTGATCAGAATGGCACCCTGCAATTTGGACAATCACGATCACTGGCCTAGAAAGCAATGGAAACAACAAAAGTTGAAGAATTGGAATTGAAATTGGCTGGGGAAAATGGAGAAAAGAAGACAGGTACGTATGAAGACAGAAAAGAGGAACAAAAACAAATGAAGAAGGGCTAGAGGAAGCAAATGGCGTTTTGAAGAAGTCGGGGACATGGCCATACTAGGACTGACATCCCAAAGCTGACATGACAACTGTCATTGAACTTATCATTGTTCATTCCTATACATGTTCTCTCTGTAACACGTCAGAAAGCATACTTGGTAACAAAACCTTTGGGTCCCCTGCTGGGCCGCTGGATCCTGCCGTCCATGCGTGGCCATCTCAGCCACACTTCCCACAATGTAACCTTTTCCACGTTTCAGCTTTCGCGGTCTCCAGCTAGGCAGGCACGTTGAAAAAGATTGAGGTCATTTTGCAACGCAGCTATGAGAGACGATGGGTTTGAGCGTGGTCACACCTTGATTGCTTTCCTCGGGGCTTTGCAGGTTCGGGATGAGGGTCTACAGCGGCGGCAAGCAGCGGAGTCAGGATACATAAGCCTTGAACCCTGACCCTAATCTTAAAAGCCTCCGAGATTGAAGTCATAAGGCCCGAAGACTGTTGTCTTTGTGGCTAAAGTTGAAAAGAAAGAAAGGCCTTGCATAGGGAACTTCTGAACACGACGGTCTGCCTTGGACACCCACCAAAAAATTGTCCCTGTCATATGAGCCATTGTCTAAACTCCTAGTATCCCCCTTAATATCCCCTATAGTAGTCCCCTATATAATCCCCTATGTAACCCCTTTAGGGGTTTAGACTATAGCTCATATTGTTGATGCAAGACATCCTGCCCCACCCTAGCTCCCTAAACCCGACAGTGGCGACCACACAGATCCCTCACAACACTAGGCCTACGTCCGCAGCTCTCTGGACTGGGGGAGCCACCAAAGACAGTAGCTCCAAAGATCATCACCCCCACCTTGCCAAGGGCTGTGCATCCTGTCCATCCTATCAACTGCCTCTGCTTGAGCATGGGCTTCTTCTGGTTCCATCTGTTCTGTGACCACAGGGCGAGAGGAGCAAACATGAACCAGGAGGTAGGAGGCTTTAGCCTGTAGCCTAACCCAAGATCTACAACACGTCTTAGGTGCCAGCCGCGAAAACTCTCTCGATGTTGTTCATGGGGTAGATGTCACCTGCATCTGTCAGCTTCTCGTACGTCGTGCGTCTCAACAGAGGATGTGCTGAAGCCCATCACACCCAATCCTTCCAGGATTTCAGACCCACACCCCAGCGTTCATGCGATCCTCCACAGCTCGGACTGCGGCATGCACACGTGGTTATTCAAAGTGAATCCATGTTTGTAGAAACTACCGTAAAATGAAGAGGTCCAGAAAGGAGACCATCACCCAGATGGCTGCAGCCGAAGGGCCATAGCCAACCGTGGTCATCGTGGTGAAGACCTGAGCGAAGACGAAAATCACAGGTTGGGGGTCTTCAGGTTTGGGGTTGGGGGTTCGTCTTCAAGCAGAACTGCCCAGAAGGACCAACTGAGAGGAACAAGGAGCGTCACAACGATACAAACAATAACGACACACTATCACGATGTTTCAACTAGAGAAAATTGGAGAGCAGAGAACTCAAAAGATGCGAATGTGGGGATACTCATGCAGAGATGCGATAATTTTCAGACGTAGATACCCCTACTAAGTACTGGGGCAAAGTCCATGTCCTGCATGATCCTGATGCAGCGCCACAGAGCTTGCTTGGCCGCTGAGAGCAACCATTTTTCAGGACTGAGGGCCCAGGCCCAGTAAAGCGCGGCCACGTACTTCTTCCCATTCGTGTCGGTATCTTGAGATCCCCTGGGCAAACATGTTCTGTGGGCCAATGGCGTGTAAACAAGCTACTAACACAAGGTTTGTGAGGACGCCGGAATCCTAGCGGAATTCCTTGTTATTCTGTAAGGCGATGAGGACTGCAACCCTCACAACAATCCCCCAGCCCAACCCTAAGCCCATTGAAAAGCACTTCAGTCTATGTCTTCAGCACTTACTGAACACAAGGGAGGGAAGCACTCTTTTGGCTTGTGCTCAGCGCCGGACCCAGCTCCGTTAAGCCAGGTAGCTGAGCGGTCCTGGACAGCTGTGAGGGCAACTACATCTTGCAGAATTCAGCGCGGGCTCCCTTGTTGGCATGACTGACTGTAGGCTTCCACGTTGGCTTTGCTCCTCAAGCCATGTAAGCTTTCTGAACACCACCAAGTGCGTCCGGCGATGGACCACCCCAATGGACTTGTAGCTGAAACTGCATCCATCAAGAGCAGGCAATTCATCTGACTTAGTATTCCCCACATTGCTAGGCCCCCTAAAGGGAGGCAAGTATGATGATCTGAAATCTACTGGTTCAGGGAAAGTCCAAATAACTATGCGATCGCCACCTAAAAGCCTCAAAAACACTGAAATAAGAGTCTGGAAAGTTGTGATGTCCAACACGCCAGAGCGTAAACGTTAATTGAAGGCCTCTACAGTCGACTTTTGAGGATGGTTCCCTCTTGGGGCAGAGTCTGACAGCTGTGGGGTATGTAGGGCGAACCAGACATTGGGAAAATTTCCAGATCGCAGTCGCCCATGCCTGGACGCTGTCATCACCAAAGCACTCCAGGCGACCCGAAGTGCAGGCCTGCGGCTGCTTGTGAATTACCACCCGTCCGTGCCATCTTACGGAGCGGGATGACTGCTATGCATTGCTATGAAGACCATCATCACCATCACCTACCGCCTCCGCCACCTGCCACCGACGAGTCGCAACAACCACGACAAAGCTTACGCCAACTAGCCTCAACTGCCGTTAGCGTTAGTCTTGACCAGGGGTGACTAGTGCAAGTCACCCTGTCGCTGCAACTGCAAATGCTTTGCAAATGCTCTGCAAATGCTCTGTAGACATGGGCACAACTGCCATCTGACAATAACCCCCAAGGATGTTCACAAGAACGGAGAACAAACGCGCATTGTGCCTGTGGATCCAAGGGCAATGTGGCCAACCAATGCCACATGCATGCCACCACGTGGGCCAAGAAGCAGACGTTCATGAACCTCAAGTTGAGCGCTTTGGAGTTTGGAGGCTTCTCAGCGGCTCGCCTGAGTCCGTATTCGCCTCTGTAGCCGCAAGAGAAAGCACACACAGAAGTCTCACAGATAGCTTTTGGAAAGAAAGCCCCCGCTCACAATTCAACATACTAAGTCCTATCATATCCTCTCTTCCCAAGGAGCCGATGATGTTCTGAGGCCACCGCAGCACAGCCAAGCGAATGAACAGAGGCGAGACCGCAACCGAAGACCTGCTTTGAAAAGGTTATGTGGGGGACTAGGGTCGCTTTAAAAGGGATACACAGGCATATACAGGGAATCATGGAGAATCAACCGGAAAAGAACATGGAAAATGCAATGGAAACTTGGATTGCGTAGTCCATCATGGGGATGATATTAACTCAGGGGTACAAATACTTGTAACAAAGCTTCGGAGCATGCTATATTACAACTATACAAGGGCTAGGGGGAAAACATTGCTCATTATTCGGGCTTCTACATCGCTCCAATCACAAAGATGAACATGTCCCTGTAATATCCCTATATAACCCCATTATAGTAGTTTTCATTTTACTGTCCATTCTCCCTATGTAACCCCTATAATGACCCTTTAATATCCCAATTTTTGGAATTGGATTCGTGGCAAAGTTCTGGGAGGCAGCAGCACTCAGTATCTTGATGAGAAGAAGTACTCACTTCCCGAATAACCAGGGCTAACAAAGCTTAAAGTTTGTTATAGAAACCCAAAAAAGGAGCCCAAAACCAAATAAAGTTCTTCTATATTGGCTAAGTAAGAGTAGCAAGGCTGATGTCCCGAAGGGACTCCTGGGAACCGGAGAGAGCTCTCCAATTTCTGACTACTACATCTGCACATACTGCAAAGCATACGAGGCAGTAAGAAATGAAGACTACATCCCCCTTCTTCCTCGCACGCCCCTAGCGACACCGAGCTAGATAGAAAGACTTGTACTTTCTCCTGATGCAACACGGCAAGCTGCAAGCGCCTTCAACAATGCTTCGCCTGAATTAAGCAGAATAGGTTCTAGGGCACTTTGTACAAAACACGATGCTTTCAAGGAACGATATTCACAGTTGCTTAGGGTTAGACGGTCCATCACGGGGTCCAGTTCCCCTCTGTTGGTACCAAAACATCTCTTTATGATGTCATGATACGACCGGCACACTCCTAACCTACCCCGCCCCGTCCCGCCCCCATCCCAAACTCCGAGAATGGGGCTCGGCAGAACTGACTAATCGGAAGAGCTTCAGCATCCGCGCCAACCTTGGGCTCGGCAGAAAGCTTATGAACCTTTGTCTGGGGACATCCTTCTCCGGGAGTCCCCTATCATGGTCTGCTCTTCTTTTAGGACACCCCATTTTATCCTCTCCCCTTTTGCCTGGGCTTTTGTGCAAAAAGGATACTCGTTCAGCTTAACCAGCTACAATAAGGCTTCGGAAATTGTATCAGTGCCCTGCGGGGATGCTACTACTGATTAAGGCTTCTACGTTAGGTTTACCTTAGACTCAGTCTTGGCTTTAACTCTTTGAGTCCCGATACACTCTATGCATCCAGCATGGAGCTCGATGGGCGCGTGCTTGGCCTTCAGATCTCCAAACTACTACCCTACTAGCGCCCAAAAAGAGCGGTACTCCCTGCCTAAAGTTTCAGCGCTTTCGTACCTTGAACCCAAGACCCCCCGCTTCATCAGGCGGAAGATCCGTGCAAACCGAGCGAGCCTGGCGGGCACTGATCCCCTCCCCTTGATGTTAAATACTCCCATGGTGGTAAAATATATTCCAAATATTTAGTAGTAGGGGGGTTGGGGGGGATAACTTCTACACGACGAGACTACTACCTTGGAGAAGAATCTCACACTTATCTCATGGGTGGTCAGCTACTTGAAATGGCCCTGCCTGTAGTTGCCATGCTAATGCAGTTGCCCCAGCAGCCCATCTAGGCTTATCTCCAACTTACGACTTCCTTTTTTGGGGGGTCCCTATGGTAGTTGTCTTTCCGGTCGAATGGCTTGGCAGTCCCAAGTTCATGGAATGAAGACTTCAAAGTCTGCTTTCGCATCACGCTACGTGACTTCAGGACTGCCAAGAGCACTTCAGAATGATGATAATCGAGCGTATGATCAACCATCTTGGCTCCTGATGCTGGTTCTGCGCTTCAAGGTTCAAACATGTCCGCACGACTTCAGCATCCGTCCGTAGCTTGACACATCCGACACCACAGCCTCATCAGCGGAGCAGACAAGTGGGCTTGCTGGCTCTGTCAGAAAACTTGCAGCTCATTACCTTTGGGGACTCTTGACATATGCATAGATGCAAAAAGGCTCTCCAGGATCGTATGAGGGGTGGTTATGCAAAATGGCCCGTGGGCGCGCGCCACACTGTCTCAGCCTTTCAGAGACCCGTGTGCTGGGGATATTTGAGACGTGCAAAGGGCATCTGATTTCGGGGTTTGCCACATCTCTACATTCCCCTACAAGGCCCCTATATACCCAGCTCATCTGCACAACTGCATAAATCTCTGAACCGCATGCTGCCGTCTATAGCCGATTTCTTTCTCTGACAGCAAAAACTTGTTTGTACCCTGTGCACTTCTGTAATTGAAGGAAACGAAGTATGCCTTGCTTGAATACTTGAACTTCTTTTGGAATGCCCCACCCAAGCCTCCACGATGCGGTCAATCGGGAAAGTGGACAGGAAATCCACCAAGAACTGGCTTTTGAGGTAATGCCTGCAAGAACGCAAGTTTGGTAGGACCCCCCGCATTCATGAGAAACCCGGACGAAAAGCATACTTTAGCAGGACCCCCCCCCTGGTAATAGTGGTATATTAGGATTATAAGAGGACCCTAATATAATTACTATTTTCCCCTATAGTCACTATTACAGGGTGGGGCGTCCACACAAAGCATACTTCAGGGGGCGGCCTGAAGATGTCGTACGGCACGGTGTTCACCAAACCATTGGAGTCCAGAAAGGCAGTTCGACAGCCTCGCAAGTTCCAAACAAAATGCCTGAAGCCAGGGTTGCCTGGCTTTTCGATGTTTATAAAACCGGCCATATGGGAGTTTCCCAAAATAGGGGGACCCCCATATAGACCCAAAAATACTATAATCCTCATTATTGGGACCCCCATAATGGTACCCCTGATTTTAGGAAACCCCCATATGTATGGTAGGATTTTCACTCATGATCTCCCTCCTCAGGAAGACCATGCTCACTTGTGAAAACCTGTATGTGAATCCATCTCGTAAACTTCGCTGAATCAATACCAACATGAAATGTCATGAGAGTACCCTGCCATCCCGTCCTGCTTTGAGGAACAGCTAGGTTGTTGGAGGGCTTGCTTTGAAAAGATTCTCCAGGTCCCTCTTAGAATGGAACAGCTTGGAAAAGCTCCGGAATATCAACCACGGGCTACTGAGCTGGCTGCTCAGGATCATGTCCATGGCAAAAAACACGTCGACAGTCACCTAAGCCAGTCTTCGGAATTAGGAATGCCCGGGATGCTGTGGAATTATAAGGGGAGGTGCCGGGCTCTCCACTAAAGATTCTACTTTGAAAAGGGTGAAGCATCCCGGCTTTGCTTTGAAGACCATACTTACATCGGAGAACACGCAAAGGCCAGGACTGTAAGAGACCTTGGTAGTGCTCTAGATCGTGGCCCCTACGCGCTCCACAAAAGAAAGCACCACAGCCCCAAAGAGCATCTCAAAAGGGTGAACGAAATCCATGCTGTGTTACAGCTTTTGAGAGACTGATGGCTGAGCTCTCTGCGTCAAGGACGACGAAGAATGATTCCTGATGTCAGAGGCAACTCAAACTTCCCGATTGCTAATGCTTGCATGGCCGGGAGCGCACCTGTCAGCTTGCCAGGTGGCTTCTACCACCGGTATTGCGCTGTTGTCGAATAGTGTTGCATGCAGACTTCTAAGCCAGCTGAGGCATTTGTCACGCTGCTTTCAATCAGTATCTGTAACTCACACACGGTAGCCGCCACGTGGTTTGGAAGCTAGAAAGATTGTCGAAAAAAGGAAGAATGACAATGCGGACGAGCTGCAGGAGTCGTGTTGAAAGACACTGAAAACGTGATGGCAATCACCTCAGCAAGCACGCCTATGCAGCCTGTGTATGTTTCATGGGTCACGCATACAACCAGTGGATTTTAAGAGCAGTAAGGTCACTTTTCAGGATGGGCAGAGTTGAGGATGAAAACTAGCTGCAAAGGATTTCATTCCAGGGCCCCTGCTGAGTAGATGATAAGCACTCCGATCCAGAGGTCCCATCTCGGCACGCAAGACTGCTGAAGGGAGATCTTCACTGCAGACAAAGGCTCGTTTTCGAGTGGATTGCTGTGTCCGTCAAGGAAGGACTGCAGCCACTAAGGTGAAGCCGAACACGCACGCATTCAAGAACGACTTCGCGCAGTTTTTTCCTGACCATGCCCGCGGGAGTCCGGATGCCGTAAGATGTCGGAGATCAGACTAGCTCGTCTGCCTGCAGGGTGCCAACAACAGAACGCCTTGAAGCCTAGAATCTCTCCCATGGCCACCAAAAATAGATAGGCGGACTCAGAGCCGCAAGCAAGCAGGCAGGTGCAAGCAGGCTTAAATGTTGGCAACATGTAACGCTCAGCGAACCATCTGCCGCCTGGGCTGCGTCAGGAGATCATGGCGAGCTCCGCGTCGAGGAGCCCGTCTCACAGCCTTGAAGCTGGGGATTATGATGATGTAGGCATACTCTATGGGTTGTTTGGGACCAGAAGCCTAAGAATGGATTACATAATAATAGGACCTAGGCTTTAAGAGTTTTTCGGCAACGGTGGATCTTCCAAGGGCTGGTGCGACTAGATAAGCTGGGGGTTTGTCCTTGTCAGTCTTCCTAGGGTACCAAAAAGGCTGATGATGGAGTGTCTGTGGCCCTTGGGGACCGTGAAGGAGACGGGTTGAGTGTTTTGCTGGCACAGACAAGTTCTACATTATGGTGCTAGCATAAATACCGTGCTTCTATTCACTATGACCATCACCATCAATCCTGCTGCGGTCCATACCTACCTCTGCTGGCTTCGGGGCAGGCGCACTGCCAAGTGGCACTGAAGGAGAGGACACGCATAGCATTGCTTTGAATACATGCACCTCCTCCTCAAGGCCACACCCTGTACGTTCCAATTTCACAGGGTAAGATGACTTGCGAAACCCAGCAAAAAGAAGAAATACTCGAGTAAATATAAAAACTATCACTACTATTCGTATAGGAGCTTCGCGCTACGAGCTGGCCTCAGCAGCATCGTCCGGAAGGGCCTCAAAGGCCCTCAAGAGTGACTGCAAGGCCTCGAAGACGGCTTGAGGTTTCCCAAAATTAGGGGTACCATTCAAAGGGGATACAGGGGTTATATAGGTGTATATAGGGTTTAGGGCTCATATTCCCAAATTAAGGGTACCTTTTTGGGTCCCTGAAATACGGATTATAATATATTGGGGTGTGTGCATATATATATATATACACACACACATAACTACCAGTTGCCCAAAGCCTTTTGCAAACAAGAGCCGTGATATTTGGATGAGGCTTAACATAAGGAAGCCCAGTTCAGGTATACCCTGTTGGGCTCCAGTTGAGATGCGCGTTGCCCACCCCACGAAGCAGTTGGCCCCTTCTGCCCCTTCTGATAATGAGGGTTTCCAAAACGGGGTCGGAGAGCTTCTTTGTCTACCGCGAGGAGATCTATAGAGATCGGGCTCGTGATTCGGGATTTGATGAAAGCTACCGAAGCTGAATGACATTGGGTGAGATGCAGGACGATCAACTGTAACTCAGAAAGATGCAAAAAGAAAATGTTGGAGTAACGAAAACTAGTGAACTCAGTCAAACTCACACCTAGGGATCAAGGCAGCAAGGAGACCCCCCTGTCAGCATTGCATTCCCGAGCACTTGATAATGATGGATACTTGACATTCCTGTCAGATTCCTCTTTTGCAGCGTCAACCGTGTCTACTAAGATAGCATACCAACATACCTTTACCTCGAATGCTACTGCGTTTTTCGACCTCTACCAACACCAGCGCCACTTTTTCTTCTCCTCCTATGTCTGCTTTGGCTACGCTTCTTCTTGTTCTACTGCCACAAAAGCTGCTACCATTCCAAACGCTCCTAAACACAAAGGCAGTCCACGTTACAATGCCCCTTCTCTCTTTCCGTATGCCGGAAAAATGGAACCGATTTCGCGTGTTATTTTCTGCTTTCTTTTCCACTACTAGTTTCTACATCCCCTCCATTTAGAATGTGCATGTTGGACATGCTAGGGCCTGGCGCGGAAGCACTCGACCTCTGCGCTGGCGATCGGCAGTGTCAAGCATCACGGAAATGAAGCTGAGATCGCGGTACCTGCGGTTGATTTTGGGCTCGAGGGCGTGGGAGTCTGGACTTAGGAATTAGGCTTCAGCACTTCGTCGGATTCACAAGCTTAACGCCACGAAGTCTCAGGGCCCCAACAAGGATATGAGGTTCACACCGCAGCAGTACAATGGCGGTTCAAGGCTTTGCTCATCATCCTGCATACCAATTACAAAGTAGCAAAAAGTCTGAGGACTAAATACTGAAATCACACTCCTTCAAACCTGTGCTTTCGCCGTCCAGCCGCTTTGCGCAAATCTCCCATGGCTCCACGAAGTGAACCACGTAGCCAAGGCGTTCGGCTAGCAGGAGATACCTCAAGTCTTCTTCAGGGATCACGGGGGTCATATGTTTCACATACAGGGTTTATACCTATTAGGTGTCCATAAATGCTCAGCACTGCATTCTATACCCCCGAACCCTACCTGCATACCTCTCAACCCCAGCCCTAAAAGCCCTCAAGCTTTCATCCTGAGCAGCCCCAAGTCTTGAAACCCCCTGGCAGCCAGGTGTCTTACCTTTCATATTGTCAGTGGCCGTAGAACAATACTCAGCACTTTTCTTCTTAGCAATACTGTTTCTTTTGGCTTGTACATGAACGCTGTTCGTGCATGGGGGCAGTATCTAATGTTGGCGTCATAAGTCAACCGTGCACCCCAAACCCTAAACCCATGTTTCAAACCCGGTGATCCATAAGGCCAAGGAGCGCGAGGTAAGACTAACATGGTATGATATGTCCCCGACAGCAGGCGCGGTGAGGACAGTATATCCAGAGCAGTATACTCAGACCATCCTACTGTAGCCCTCCTTCAAGTAGGTAGAGCGCATGGGAACTAGGGCATACTGCATTTGTTGTACGGAATCTGTTCTGGGCTGATGGCTCTTGAAATTCCACGTGCTTGAGGATTAGCACACACCCTGAAAAAACGAACGGCTAAAGTCTGATCCCAGATGCGGGCGCATCTCCCACAGGCGCAGGTTCGATGAGTCCTTTGCTTTGGCGCGGAGTACAAGATAAGGTATGTCTCGCAAAGAAGCGAAAGAGATTTGCTACACCTTTCTTAAACAGAAAAAGAAAGATATTTGTTGGCTCTCAAATTTCACACCCAGCTTTGCTTTCCTTAAAATTAGCCCTCCAGTCCACCGCTCTGGCTCCACTGTGTATACACATACAGTTATATATATATATAAACATTTAGGACCCGGACCCCCCCCCTCTCAAACCCCTCCCCAAAGCTTCAAAGCGGGTGCCAGGACCCTTCCAGTGCTTTTCAAGGCCTCCCAAGCTTCAGGAAACGAATGAATTAATGACACTGTGTTGTAAAAGGAATAGGTTTGGGTGGCTTGGCTGCCTCGCAGCATGGGGTGGGTGAATGTGTAAGATGGCCTTCTACAGTGCCATGGCAGCACCTCGCAAGCTCATGCACTCGACGTTGCTTTGCAGCTTGTGCGTCGCATGTTCCACGTAACATCGCAGCACACAAACCTATACCCTAAAACCTAAACTCCAGGCCTGGTTGCGAAAGAAAGAAATTAGCTGCCGCCGATCTGGGTGGTGGCTGGCTGGTTTTACCAGGGGCCCTCCTGACAAGGCGGGATCCGGGACCCCAGGCTCTCCTCTGGGGCTTGGGAGCAAGCAAATTTCCAAGATTCAGAATTCCTAACACGGTGTTGAGAACCGCGTAAACCTTCAGGTGCCAAGTGTAAGGTTGCAACACGTGCCCCTAGACGTCCAGATTCACAAGCCCAACGCAACACCCAGCTTCAGAGTCCGGGCCGCTTCAAATTATTCGAGGGGTAGATAGGGAATCGTGCAAGGTACGTGTTCTAAGGACTACTCAGGTGGATATGGGGAATTCAGACTGTAGCTGATGTCTCAGACCTCGCGGGCCGCTGCAGTCCTAGCATTCCCCGTTTTTTGTGACTTGCTGCCTTCACCACATTGGCCTGCCAGTGCGCATTTACGTCTGCATTTGACCTTTGCGTTTAAATGTTTCAATTCCTCCCTGCCCCACTGTTTACCCCCTGCTCGATTACATAGCTTGGATGCAGACACTAAGCGCGTGCGAACCACGTGCGTGTGTCTAGTATTTCTAGATATATACACATATCAACATGGACAAAATGCACATAAACATAGCTCGCGCCTATATGACCCGCAGTAAGAGACCTGTTGAGAATGCTCAGAAGAGTGCTAGCTTCCCAAAGCCGAAGAGCCATGAAACCTTTCGGACTCGCAGCATACATCTAATAATCTGATTTGCTTGACCCATCTGAGAAAAGCTGATGCCCGACATGCAGAATATGGAAATGCCCAAATGAAGAGCATAATAGTAGTTAGTAGTAATACAGATACTAGTAATCCTAGTAATGATGATAAGAACAGTAATAAGAATGATAATAATGACAATAGTAATAAAGATATGAAGACTAGTAGTAATATGTAGATATATAAACTGACATATATATATACATATTCTATATATATATATGTAAAGTGAATGTACTTCTTGTGTAGATGCTTGCAGTAAGAGTGTCTGGGCTGGCAAGGCTAAGGCTGAGTCGTCCAGGCAATGGCTCTAAGGATGTGATGAGATACAATGGCCTTTTATGGATCCTGAAATCTCTAGGGTTTGGGGTTTAGGGTTTAGGGGTTTAGGGTTTAGGGACCCCCTTAACCCTAAAGCTCCTATCAGGGTTTAGGGTTTAAGGTTTATAGTCCCCTTAAATAGATAGAATATGGCTTTGGGTATATTATACTAATTAAGATCTCCATATACCCCCATATTCTATCTACTTAAGGGGGACTATAGGATTTAGGGTTTAGAATCCTATCCCTAGAGCTCCTATACCTCCAACCCACATCCCCTCCTTGGCTCCACTAAACCCAAACCCATGTCCAGGCTCCAGAACTATGTGAGCCATTGTCTAAACTCCTAGTATCCCCCTTAATGTCCCCTATAGTAGTCCCCTATATATTCCCCTATATAAACCCCCTTTAAGGAGTTTAGACTAGAGCTCACATACCCTGAGCTAACCCCGAACTCAAATTCCCAGGCCCCGTCCTGGCGCGCGGCTCGCAGATGAAGAGCTGCGAGATTTGAGAGCCTTGGTACCAGGTTTGGGTGGTTTGGGGTATACAGTAGGGTGTTGGGGGGGGGGGGTATATTGAGGTTATTGGGATAATGGTAACTACTATAGTATGTTGGGGTTATATTGGGGTTAAACATCCTGCGAAGTTGTATGCTGTTGCAGCAAAAGTGTGAGAGCGCGTCATGGCAAACTTGTCGAGGCGACTCGGCTACGTGTCGGCCGCATTGGCGCCCAGAACTAAAGCCTCCCTGCGACCGACTCATTGGACCCTGACTACTTTCCAAACACGGCCCTTGCGCAACCTCAAAAGTAGTCCCGAAGCCATCCGATATCCAAAGCCCAAACCCTGCAAACCTGTCCATGCCCCCAAAGCTCCTTTCAAGGTCCTGCATCCATGCCCGGGGACGTAAGGTGCACGCCGGAAACCAGGGGCGCAGCGGATGGGCCGACGCCTCGCAGGAGAGATTGTAAAGGGATTAACTAAGGAGTATGTATGGGGTATCATTGAACTATACTCTTAACTGCTAATATCCCCCTTAACAACACCCCCTATAGTACTCCCCAATAGAATCCCCGAAAAGAACCCTCGAAGGAGTTTAGACTATCGCTCATATGAGGGTGAACTGTAGGTGGAGCAGGGGGCAAAAGTAGGCAAAACAACTTGCTACAAGAACTACACCCACAGCAGGGTATGCATGTGTCCACTTCTCAATGAACCTCCAAGAAAAGCTGGAGGTGAATCGGTGCGCATGGAGTGTCTGGGCTTTAGGCCTTGGGGCTTGGGTCTTAAAAGTCAAAAATTGGGCTTAATATTACCCAATAACATATAACCACCATTATACTATAGTAGTTCCCATTTTCTTTTCCATTATCCCAATATTCACCCAATATTACCCCAATATAAATTTAGGTTTCAGGGTTTGGGGTGTTCGACTGTAAGGCTTGGGCGTCCGGCTGTCACGATAAGGCTGTCTTTCAGAATTGGGGGATCTCAGGCATGCTGTGTACCTTTCAGGCCTGAATCCTAAGGGTCTCCTGCAGGCCCACAAGTATTTGTGTGAAAATTGAAAGTACTGCAATAGCTTCAAGGTTTTCTGGCTCCTTCAAAACCGAGCAGAGGGTGATGAGATGGAGCTTTAGGCACCTGCTGTGTTTGGGAGAGCTAGGTGAATCTCAAGATGGCTGCAGGACACACTGCCCAACACAGAACGCCCAGCCTGTCTTTGCATAAGGTAAAGGCGCTGGGGGAGGTGCATAAGCGAAAATGCTACACTGCACATTCTGCCTCAGGGATCAGGGCTTTCAGGGGCCCAGCTCGCGTGGAGATTTCTTGAACTGAGGTTCTGCCCTGATGACTCAAACATGATTACGCCATGACCGGCAACAACTAAGATGAGACATGCTTGTCAAGAAATCCGAGCAAGTGGGGGTGCGCCAAAGTTATGATCCCTGTGTAAATTTGTAGAAGCCACTAGATTCAGGACTCCGGTTGTCCGGAGGAACGCAGGACAACCAGTGAGACGCCGTACTATCCGCCCACCCCACCAATACAAGTTTCCAAACACCTATAAGAGCGAGCAAACCACTCTGCGACAGGATGCAGTGCCTGACTGTGCGTCCAGGATCTCATCTAACCTTAATGCAAGGCATGCATGAGGCTGCGTGGCTGCTTTGGTACGAAAGGCTTCAGGCAAACTTGCGACTACAAGGAAGGCCCACTTAGGCTATACTGGTAAACACATACCCAGTGGAGAGACATCGGAAAATGACAAGCACAGATCCCTTGTCAAGAAACTTATGCACCCCTGCATGACAAGATCTGGACATCATTTTGGAAAAGCCTGTGTTCCTATACGGTGCTGACACTTGCCCGTCGAACACAGCCGAGCCTATCCGAATGTTTGTGGACCCTGGAAAATTCTGTGCTTGACAATGGCCATATACACAAACCGCACAGCACAAGCGAGGAGCATTGTCAGCGTTCTCTGCAAGCGCCGCTCTGCCTCCAAGGGTTCAAGTCAATCCGCTGTCCACCACTTTCAACATGACTTCATACTTCATACTCCACTTAAATATTTGGAGTTTGCCCCCTGCGAGTATAGTAGCAACCCCATACAACCGCTACAGTTTCAGCTACATAGTGTTCCACCAAAAGCGTGGACCTGACCTAACATAAATCCCAAATGCCAATCTCACTTTGCGCCTGCAGCAGCCGCTCCCGATTGCCCGTTAGCTGGCAGCAAGCCTCATTGCCTGCCACTCACCGTACTGCATGGATCTTAAGGGTATGAAAGGGGGTCGCTGTGTGGATCCACTCCACAACTGCCTCTGAAGCACCAGAAAACCAAAACCGGAGGTTAGCCCATCAGCACATACGCAAACGACTACCCGATTGCCAACCCTTAACGCGAAAAGTCTTAGCTCGCAAGCCACAGAATCCAAATCCAAACATCAAGACACAAATTTGAAATCTTGAACTTGGACACTGCTGTTAAATTGAATTTTGTAGTTTCCAACCATTTGTCGCAGCCCCGCTCTCCTGACGATCGCAACCAGCACACAGAACAAGCACAGGCAAACCAATGACAGCAGCAATAGTTGCGATAATTCTGAGAAATACCAATCAGGACCGCTACTCGCAATACTCTTCAATTAAGTTCAATTGCCTTAAACACCACGGGTAAGCTGTGGTGTGGCAAAGTTGTCGTGAAATCCCACCAGACCCTTTCTGTTTTCAGCTTACATTTCCTATGGGGGCAAAAGGCGAACGTGATATCTGAAGGTAGACCCCCTTAACTCTACACGAACCTCGCGCCGTGTGTAAACCACGCACGCGAATTCACAAAACCTAAACTGTACATGAACCTCGAACTCCAAATCGCTAAGCCCTTAACCCC